ACTGTCAAATCCCAGCCCATTGCACGGATGAAGACACTGAGGCCTGGAGGGGGGTAATTGTGTGGCCAGATGCAGACCAGGAACCTGGGGCTCCCTACTTTCCATCTAGTCTTCCCACCCCTAGAGCTGCCACCTATCAGGCTGGAGCCAAGACCGAGCCTGGACCTGGGCGCCGAGGCCTGGGGAAGTGCCCCACAGCAGGGTGACTGGCAGGCTGCTGGCCTGTGCTGAGGTGCAAGGGAGGGTCACCCCTCTGGCATCCCCGGAGGGGCCAGGGAGGACCTCTCACCCCCCAGAGCTCTCGCCTGTGGACCTGCCACAGAGCCCAAAACCCCTGTGTGAGTCACTCCTGGCTGGAACGGTGAATGCCATGGTAAACTCATCCCTTGGCGAGAGGAACACCAGACTATGAGCATTTCATCTGCGGTCCTCAAAGGAGAGGTCCGGAGCCATAGCGGGCGCTCGGGTACCCAGTGCGAGTGGGGCAAAGGTCAGTGAAGCCCTTTATATTTCTCCATTTGCAATTCAGAGATTTCTACATCCACTGTTTTATTCTGGGCTCATGGCAGCCCTCCGAAGACTGCCTGGCAGTTTTCAAATGCACGCCTGGCGGAGAAGGAAGCATGCGCCCCCCGTGGCCTCCCCCCCCCCCCCGCCGCCTGTCTCCCTCCGTGTATTCACGCACCTGTGCAGTCCCCGCCCACACTGGGAGAGCCAGCGTCTGTAACCAGCAACATGGTGTGGAAGTGACGACACATGACTTCTGAGGCTAGATCATAAGACGTTGTGGCTTCCATCTTGTTTCTATGGCTGGACCAGGACTCCTATACCAGTGCTCTTTCTCCTCAGGAAAGCAAGGGTGACAGGGGCCTAGAGGGAGAAGAGAAGGCAGCTGAGGCCTGAAGGTCAGACAGGGTTGGAGCCAAATCCCAGCTCTACCACTCTCAAGCTGTGTGACCTCAGGCAAGTTACCTAACTACTCTGAGCCTCAGTATGGGCATCTGTGAAGTGGGGATAGCAATACTGACTTGAAATCTTGTTGCCAGGATCCAATGTCTGGCCAAGGGCCTGGGTATCCTGCCTGGGCGGTGTGCACTGCTGGGGCTCATCCAGGCACCTGGGGACCTCTAATGTGTGTTCCTTCCCAACTTTAAGGAGTGAACTTCCTGCCCCCAGCCCTCAGTGGCCACTACCCACCACCCCCTGAGAAGCCAGAGCTGAGTGACCAGGACCCAGCTAGTATCCTGGGCCTTGAGCCAGGGAGACCTCTGGGGGGTTTGAGTTGGAGGCAGCCTGACTCCTAGGTCCCGCCAGAGAAGCCCCCTAACGGAGAGTCCTACTTCCATCCAGGCTCCCAAGAAACGTACTCAGAAGAGGACCTGGGCTAACCAGAGCAGAAGGGTCCAGGCTTTCCTCTTCTGGGTGTCAGCCTCCTAGCTACCTGCTGCTACCTTTGTCTGGGGGGGGGTATTTTGGGGTTATTTGGGGCCAGGGTTCCCAGCTGTTGGGGAAGTCCCTGGATTTCCTGAGCCAGGTCGGAACGTTGCGTCTTACTCAGCATCTCTTTGGTGACGTAGACTCCCTGTTCCCTCTGGAGCGCTTCCTGCTGCTCCTGCCTTCTGCCGCCTTCCTCTGAGATGAGACAGGGTGGGCAGGCTCCGCTCACCTTCCTGCCTCCTGCAGGCCGGGGGACTGGCTTCCCCAGCTCTCTCTGGCAGGCACGGCCCCTGTGATCCCACAGCAGAGCTCGCCGCTTGCTGCACCTTGCGTGGGGCTCAGGGACTTCCCCTCCTGTTCTTCAAAGCACTTTCACACTTGTTAGGGGGTTTGCGAACCGCCTGGAACCCGCAGGAGGTGCCCAGTCGGCTCTGTCCAGAGCCCTCTCTTCAGAGTCCCCCGAGCCGCTACTTTCCTGGGCGGCTGCAGTTTCTCCAGTAGAGGCTGGACTTCCCGGGGCTCCAGCCGGGTCCCTGGCCACAGAGCGTGCCGCCCTTCTCTCTGCTGGCCAGTTGTGGGCCCATGGCCCCGTGCCAGGTCCCCGCTCGGGCTCCCGAGGTGTCCTGGTCCTCCAGAAGCACGCAGTTTCCTGGGGCAGGGGGAGACGTGAACCAGTCATTACTGTCATGACGCAGTAAAGATCAGTTCTAGAATTGAGGTACCAAAAAACGACAGAAACCACCTTTCTGCCCGGGAAGAGGCCACTGGGGGAGGAGAAGGGACAATGAGGAGATGACCTTGGAGCAGGCTCTGAAGGTGAAGAGGAGTCGGAGGGGTGCTCCCGATGGAGGACCGGGGATGGGCAAAAGCATGGAAGAGGATGGGGCGAGGATGGTACGCGTGGCTGGAGCAGAGCGCCGAGGGAGAAGCTGAAGGGGAAGCTAGAGCAGGACTGAGCCGGGCGACGCAGGGGTCTCCAACACCACTGGCTTTGAGGAACGCTGGCCCAGTGGATTCACTGCGCTGTGTCTCAGTTCCTCACCTGCACAATGGGCACAAAATAGGATCTTCCTCAGAGGGTTTCCCGGAGGATTCGAGAAACCAATGCCTGAAACCAATGCCTCTTCACACAAAGCGAGCACTCAAGACAGCCAGTGTATTGCTATTAAGTAAATAATCTGATTTTTCATGGGAGGAGAACGCCCACCTCCACCCCCATTGCACTCTGCAAGGGTTCTGTGCAGGGGAGGGTGGGTGACAGGTCCCTGGGGGGGGTGGGGGAGGTGGGGGAGACAGGTTTCCAGAGCATCACTATTAGCATCATTTTTAATGGATGTGTAGTATTCCAGTAAGCGGATGTACCACAGCCCACTTAACCCTTCACCCCTGATGTTGTGATTCTTAGGGTATTTCCAACATTTATAAATAATGTTTTAGGAAACATTGCTGTGTTTATGGTTTCCTTTTTTCTTTTTCCAGTTCAACCATTACCTTCATTGTTTGTTTTTTTTTTTTCTTTACTAGGGCGAAATTACTGAGCCACAAGTTGTAAACAGTTTTTTTTTTTTTTTTTTCCAGGGGGCTTTTGCTAAAAGTTGCCATATTGCTTTCTGAAAAGGGTTGTAACACTTACCAGCAGAGTATGAATGCATATTCCGATTTCACCACCGCTTTGGGGTTGGATTTTACCAAAGTTGTTTTTATAAAGAAGACCAAAGAAAACCAAAAACAACAATACAAAAACCCTGATGATTTAAGAAGTCTAAGAAAGTATCAAAGGTTGCTTTCATTTGCATCTCTTGCTAGAAATGTGGAATTTTTAAAACTTGTGATGAGATTCATTTGTATTTCCCCTGGGTCAGCCGTGTTGGGGTTGTTGTTTGATCATGCACATGGGCTTAACAAGCATTTATTTATTCAGAGTCCCAGCTCTTCTATAGTAGAAAGTCCTGAACAGGGAAGCAGGCATCCTGGGCTGCTCCTGACCCTGCCTGGCTTGTGAACATCATGGGTGGTCACTTCCATACTCACTCACTTAATTGTTTAACATAGTCCCAGCTCAAACATGCTAGGGCACTCTCACCCAGGGGAGAGCCCAGAGAGGGGTCTCCCGGAAGGATGCACAATTACAGGAAGTTTTCCCAGGTGGAATCCAGGAGCTTGAGGAGAGTTGGGTCTGGCAGGAAGGGCAGTTACAGAATGCTCTGGTGGGAGACTGCTGGTAGGGCCAAGGAGTTGAAGGCGTTTCTGAAAGATGGGGGGCTTCTACCTTGCAGGGACAGACCGAGGTGCAGAATCCTGAGAGTCACTGGGCCATTCTGGGCTCAGGGAAAACAACTGGCCATCTTTAATCAAAGCACCTAAGACTGGCTGCCTATTTCTTGGTCTCCAGGTCTGAAAAAAAATACAGCACAAGCACATGAGTCCCTGACCTGCAGACTACCTGGTGGATGCTCAATGTATATGCTTGGAATGTAGAATGAAAGGGAGAAGCACTGGAAGGGAAAATTTACCCCCTGCAAATGAGAACTTAATTTGAATGAGACTTGTATGGTTTATTTCTTTTCGGTAAGAGTTCTAGGCTCTTCCTCTAGGCAGAAAACTCTCAGGGGGCAGGGAAATGTCTGTGGATTGACAACCAAATGCTCAATACTCAATGCATCAGTCCCTTCAACAGTGAATCCATCCATCTATCCACGAAACTACCCACCTGCCCATCCATCCATCCACCCACACACCCATCCATCCACACATCCATCCATTCATCACTCATCCATCCACAAATCAATCCATCCATCCATCCATCCACACCCATCCATCCATCCACCCACCCACCCACCCATCTATCATCCATCTACTGACTAATTTTTTAGCAAATATTTATTCAGGGGTGTTAGCTTTTTCTGCAGTCCCCTGACTCTAGCTGTCCCTTCTAAAAGAATCCCCAGGGCAAGAGAGAAGGTCTGGGTTGATCCTCGTCAGAACCTACTCCTGTCTAGCTCTATCTTGGGATGGCGGTGGGGTGGGACCATTGTGCCTGGAGCCTCCCAATCTCCTGAGTCCTCCACCTCCAGGCGCCAGGGGTGGTGAGCAGGGTGTTGTGGGGGGGGGGCGGGGAGGAGCTCCCTTCCCTGGCCCTCAGTCCCACGGGGCCAGGCAGCAAAATCCCTGGAGCTGCGGAGGACGCCTTCTGTCCAATCGGGGCAGGTCTTTCACAGAGCAGGAGGGGAGTGTGGCTTGTCCTGAGTCATCTCTGCACGTGTTTGTCCGCGCTTTCTTTTTTCGCTGCTGGTAGCGTTCCTGGAAACCGTCCTGGGTACCAGTGCACCTCTGGATGGTGGGGGAAGGGAAGAGTCAAGGCAGAACCCTCAGAGAAAGAGTAGCTCACTTTTGAAGTGACTTCACAGCTGCGGCCCGGCCGGTGCTGGGGAAGTCTGCCGGCGCCCCGCGCCACCCAAGGGTCACCCAGGTGCGGCTCCGGGCTCTGGCCCCGCATGTGGGCGCAGTGCGCTTCCCAGGCCGCCTAGGTGGGCGCTTCCCCCGTCCAGCTCAGCCTTCCGCCCTCGGCCAGGATGTGCCCCCTCCGCACTGTGCTGGGTCTGCTGCTCCTGGGGGTGCTGGGAGCCTTCCCGCAGGTAAGAGGGTGGCGGGAGCCTGGGAGGCACCAGCGGTCCAGAGTCCCCTCCCTGCCACTGCTGCCCTGAGCCCCTGGCAGTGTGGGGGGCGTGGGGCACAGGGGAAGTCGGGGAGTCACCTCATTACCGCCCAGCTGGGGTTGAGGGGGCACAGGTGACAAGTAGGGGGACAGGAACCTGCAAGGATTCACAGGTGGGAGGTTGGCTGACTGGCAGCTGTTGGGGGCCTCTCCTCCCCCGCCCTGGCAGAACGCTGCGATTATTCATTCAATCATCGGCAGTAACTGAGCTGTGGGGGCTATCTGCAAGAGGTAGGCTGTTTGCAGGTGGGGGTGTCGGGGCTCTCCTTGCTACTGGCCCCTGGTCCCTAACATGGTTGGCGCGGGGAAGCTGAGTGTGGGTGAGAAGAGGGAATAAGGGAGCTAGACGGGCCAGATTAGTACCCTCGCCCCCACCCCATCTGGTCAACGCGTGGGTCCCAGGCCCCGGAGCACATAGTAGGTGCCCGCCCCTGGGAAAAGGTCAGCGGTGGGGCTGACGTCTGCTGTAGGAAAATCCCAGAACCGAATCTGGGGACTGCTTTAGGAAAACAGCCCTTACTAGTGGCCAGCACTGAGCTAGGCGTGGGGTGGGGGCAGAGCTCAGATTAAGCGGACGTGGTCTACTTTACCGACAGCGCTGAGCGCAGGGTCTGAGGAGGAGAGAGGCCTGTGGCTGACCATAATACCCAGGTGGAATACAGTAGGTGTTGGTGAGGGGCCTGCTGAACATCAGCACCGAGCTCAAAAGCAGGAACAACAGCGGTCTGTTGGGGGGAGGGGCAGGCCCATCCTCTTTAATCCTACAGAAAGGGGAGGTCAGCCCTATTCATCCCATCCTCCCGGCAGGGGGAGGAGGGAAGTGGAGTGGTCTCCAGGCAGGAGGAGGAAGAATATAGGTAGAAAAGGGGGACAAGCCAATGCCCCCGCCCCAGCCCCACCCGGTCTTCCGAGGGACAACGTGAGACAGAAGGCAAAGGGGGTAGCCAGTGCCCTGGCTACAGAACCCTCCTGGCCCTTCGAGTCCTCTGCTGATGACCTGGGGGAGGGTGTGAGTTTGGGGTGCCGAGGGCTTGCGGAGATAAAGGGAAGGAAAGAATGTGAGGGGGACTTGGGGGCTTTGGTGGCTGGAGCTCGTGTGCTTCCTTCCTATAGAGCGAAACCCCTGTTTAAATTTTTTTTTAAAAAGTATGTATTTAATTACACGAGGAATATATGAATATATCCTTGATGCAAAAAGTGCAGATAAAGCTAAATCTTTAGACACCCCCCTCATCCTGATTCCTTTGGAGGTCGAACTGCCGTCCTGGGCTCGGTGTCTCCTTGGCACACCTTTGTAAATGCATGTCCGTGTTTTAGAGAAGTAGGTAGGGTTTTCCGTACACTATACAGAGTGCACAGCTCTTCATTTGGCTTTTACGTCTGCACTATGTCTCGGACATGTTGTTCCCGGCGATCCCGTGTTGCCCTTTTATTTATTTATTTTCCCCACACGTTTATCTTTGAAAATAAGTATTGGTAGTATTTGGTAGTATCCTACCAAATGGGGGTTCCATAGTTTTATTTTTTTATGTCCCTGATGGGTGGGTGGTAAGATTCCTACCACCGTTTCTTTGGTTTGTTCGTTCGCAATCGCAGTGGACAGCCCCGTAGGGATTTTTGGGGGATGTGTATGCTTCTTTCCCAGAGAAGCTGAGGCGAGAAGGTAGAGGTTGCAGGGTGAAAATGCATTCAGGTAATAAGAGGCCACCAAATTGCCTTCCAGGGTGGCTGGACAATCCCCCACAACCCCCCAGAGCAGTGCCTGAGCGTAGTGACTTCCCCACATCCTAACCGACTTTTGATCTTATCAGAGTTTTTATTTTTGTCAGTGTGACCGGTGAAAAGTGCCATATCCTTGTTGTCGTAATTTGCATTTTCCGCCGACCGGAGAGCCTGCGTGACTCTCTCGTGGGCTCAGACACCGGGGCATTTCTTGGCAGGAATTGGGCTGCCGGCTCAGCTTCCTAGTCCCTCCGACTCCCCCAAGCCTTCTTCCGCCTCTGGTGTCCCAGTGAAGTTTTGGGAACTCATCATTAAAAAAAAAAAAAAGGAAAAAAGAACCCCAAGTCAGGGATTTTAAATCCTTTTTTCTCACCGTCTGATTTGAGACTCCATCATTTTGCGGTGGACGCGCGAGGCAAGAATGCCTTCTTGCTGTGTGTCACCCTCTGAGGAAGAGATTTGGCCTCTGATGCCTCACACTGCTGTCTCCCCAAGAGTGGTTTTGGTAATGTGACCCAGGATTGCTCTGCGCTGAATCCTGAGAAGAAGTCATTGCCCTCACGCCTCACCCTTGCCCGCCATCTTTTTCATGCGGCCACCTGCGGTGGGTCGGTCGGTCGGTGGGTCCGTGGGTCGGTCGGTCGGTGGGTCGGTGGGTCAGTGGTGGCAGGGGAGGGAGGCCCGGGCCTTCCGGTGAGCTCGGCAGACTTCAAATTCCCGTCGTCTTCTTCCAGCGCTAAAGCTACAACCAAACTCCCTCCGGCACCCACGCCCTCCCATCCCAGCTCCCTTCCCCTCCAGCCAGATGAGACTTTCCCCGTCTTGTTTGGGAAAGAGGACTTTTCCTGCAGCTCTCAGGCCACATGGAGGCCGAATTCCACGTTATGCACCAAGAGGAAGGGACCCAGAGCGGGGTGCCCGATGGGAGGTGGGGGGGTGTGTGGGCTGATCTTATGCAGGGCCCCCCTTCCTCAGAGAGAGGCCTGGGCAGCCAGGAGAGCACAGTGGGGTTTGAGCGGGGTTGGGGGGGGGGCATTAGTCAGCTTGAGATCAGTCAACGCTGAAGAAGGGCAGCGTTTACTGTAAGTTTCTGACTCTGTTCCCACTCATATCTGACCTAGACTTGTTTCTTGAGTTGTGATTCATCCTTAAGCTCAAATGCACCTTCCTCTAGGCCTCTTTTGCCTCAGGAACATCATCAGAAGGAAAATGCGGTCGAGAGAGATTTGGGTCTGGGTCGCCCCGGAAACTTGGCGGTCGTTGGCCCAGATGGTTAGTTTAGCCCAGCCGGGGCCAGGGTGGCCTCATCGGGCTCGTGCACTGACCCTGGGGGTGGCCTGTCTGGGGTCATGGGCGCCATTTTCCGGACGAGGATGCAGAGGCTCAAAGGCTGAGGACGGTCTTGCCCGTAGCGTCAGGACGGGTCAGGGGCTGAGTGGGACCAGAGTCGCAGACCCAACGGACAGAATGTTCCAAAAAGCCAGCTCAGCAAGACCAGTTCTCCAGCTTCTCTCTCTCCTGCCACCTCCCCGTGCCCCAAGGGGCTGCTGGGGCTGAGGGAGGGAGGGAGGGAGGGAGGGAGGGAGGGAGGCATTATTCCAAAATCTTTGCTGCCTATGGTTGAAAACCACTGGCATTCTCAGTGGCCTCCCTGGTGGGGAGGGACCTTTTCTATGCCTCCCAGTTCAAGTACTCACTGACTTCTTGGGTCTTCGGGGATATTCCTCCAAGTACTCATTCATTCATAAAATCATAAAGGAACAGCTGCTCTGTGCCTGGCATGTGCTGAGTGCTATGGAAAGGTAAGCCATTATTAAGCTCCTCTCGTATGCTAGGTATTGTGGATGCAGGATGAAGGTGAACCGGTCCTTGCCCCCAAGGGTGTGGGAAGAGGGACCCAGAGGAGAGTGACCAGCGCTGTGGGGAGATCTGCCCCCCTCCCCCCCAGCGGGAGCCCACAAAGGGCCCGTGCTCGCCTCCACCTGCACTGGTGGGGGACAGCTTTTGACGCGGGGGGTGGGGGGAAGAGGTGGCCAGGCAGCAGAGGTTGTGATAAGAAGCTCTGTACCACGGATGGTGCCAGTGTCCTTGCCGATGGCCGGGTGGAACAGCATGTCAGCGAGGGGGTGTGGCGATGTGCTCCTGAAACTACACCGTTGGCTTCCATGCAGGGTCTCTGGGCCTCCAGGAGCTGCCTGCCCGGTGTGGTTCCTGCACTGGAACAGGCCGAGACTTCTCTCTGTCCACACAGTCTCGTAGTGGAATGGCGGTGGGGGGGGGGGCAGTGCACACTGGGGCCCTGGCTTCCCTCCCTGAGCAGGCTGGGATGATGGAGGTGCTCCCAGAAACAAGCCGGCCCTTCTAGCTGGTGGGCTGACATAGGGAGGAATCCAAGGCACCTCCAAGAGCGGACAAAAGCTAAAGCACCCCGGGGGGAGGGGGGCGCTTCCTATTCTTTAATGCCATTCAGTTTTCCCTGGCAGCCACTGGTGTCCCTCAGCAGTGGCTGCTGCTGGGTCTGCTAGCACAGGGCTGGTGGCTTTCATCCCATCCGAGGTATCGCTGAGTGTGAGGCCCGAATCCCTGCTGCAGCCCCAGAACTTTCAGGAGAACCGTGATCTGAACAACTGGTTCAGGTAGCTGGCCCGGGGTTTCTCTAGGGCAGGAGGGGTGTCAGGTGAGAAGTGAGGCCTTAGCAGTCGCCGAATTTGGACTCAAGGCCAGACCTTGATAATGTTGACCTACGTGCCTCCATGCCATCCGTCCCCTCTCGTCTCAGTTGCCCTATAATCTTTAGTGGCTCCCCATTGCCAAAGGCAACATTTCCCAAAGTCACTTCCAGGGAACAGGTGTTCCATGAGGAAAGGGTTCCATGGCCACCCAAGATGGGGAAACAATTTGTCTCTCTGCCCCCAACTTTTCCTTGGCGAATCAGAGAGCAGGCAAGCACGTTAAAGGTCCCACGATTTAAAATGTAAACCTCTCAGATGGAATCCAGCAGTGGGTGGGTTGGTTGTATTTTGTTTTTTGGGGTTTTTTTTTGTTTGTTTTTTTGGCTTGTCACCTGTGGACATCGGGTGGAGCCAGCATTTGGTGGAATGCTGTGTGGGAAATGACATGCAGCCCATCTGGCCCTGAGGCCTGGGCCTCTTCCCCTTCTGCTCCCAATGTCTTCACCCCGCAAACCACTGAATTCCC